TAGCAAGAGAAAAAAATTATGCAGTAACCACTCGATTCCCATAACAAAGATTTTTTTTTTTAAGCTCTATCAGACTTGTTCAGCTAGTGAGCTAAGAACGGCTCTCTTGCATCTGGTTTAAGCCTCACGTACCCTGCAACAACTTCTGCACTTCTGACTGGCAACTGATGTGTCTCAAACAGCTCTTTTATACGCCATCTTTGAAGAATTACTGTACTCATCTGTTATAGTTTGAAATGAGTTTTATAACTAGACATCAGTTTAGGTATTCAAGTAAAATAAAACATCCAGACCTAAACAAGAAATAAAAATACTAGATCCAGAATCAAAGGCAGAAGAATAATGCCAAAAAAATGCAGGTAGAGATTTCTTGGTTTTAATTATGACCCACCTTTTTATTTATAAATGGAACAAACCTCTTTGGCTTGAGCTCTTACTGCAAACCCAAGCCGAGATCTGGAAATCTAAAAAAATTTTTTTTATTATGTAATCCACTGAAAAAGCCTGACAAGAAAGTTAACATTCTTTTATATTCTCAGCATAAGCAAAACACACATTGCTTCCCTCCAGCACTATTTTCAAAAGTCACCAAGATGCAAAAAAGTCATCAGCAAGTTATCACTGGTTTTGTGTAGTGAAAAGTTTATAAAGTAGCAGCAATAGGAATTAGTATTACGACTGGAAAAATCAGACTGTGGTACTGGCTCATGCAAGCTAACTCTTACCTGAAAAAGAAGTTCAAAGCAAACAAGAACCATTTATATTAACCACTTAATTTGCTATCTTTAGCTTAACACTTTGTACAGAAGACTTAAACAGCTATATCAAGAAAGATCCTGATGCTTCAGAGTATGATCAGTGATTTTGCCACTTAGACAATCATTAACAGGAAGGCCACTGGTTAAAGTTTTCTTCTTACATGTTATTGACCACAACCTTAGGAACTTCTTGTTTATGATAGTCTACTTTACACTCAAGAGTTTTTTTTGTTTTAGCTGCCCTTTGCAGTCCTTTATTAACAAAGTGTCAACATGGAAATAGGCAACTGAAAGTAAACCAAACTCACTGCCTCCTAGTAACCTGGAACTATATTGATGAAAATTCAATTTTGAATGCTTGCATTGAATATATTAAAACCATGACTTCAGAGATAGTGGATCAAACATTAAAACTTTTGTTAATGTTCTATAAAGCATGAAATTCTGTTTATAACATTTTTTAGGGAAATTTGTCCTCATATTCTCATTTTTTCCCCCCTCAAGCAAACAGTAGAAATATAGTAATCTGATTCTTTTAATCACAGAATTCCAGAATCACAGCAAGACAGATTATCAACTACAACTAGCCAAAATAAAATAAAAATCAAACAACCTATTCCTAGACTGAACATTCCTCCTATGAACATTGGCCCATTTCAGTGATGCAGCTTATAGAACACTAGAATTTTGGGGCATTGTCATTCACTCATTAAACAATCTGTTCACTTTGTGAACTAGAAGAGAATTACCCACACAACCCAATTAAAAGTATTTGCCTTGTACGCTCAGATCTATAACCTAAGAAGATTTAGGCTCAGTGCTAGAGCCTTGGTATAACTAACATGCCTTATGTTTCAGCATTCCTACAATTATTCAATAACTAGCTATATAAAGCAGCTAGTTTGGCTCATCAGTAAGTCCCACTAAGTCTGTTAAACAGGTTATCATATTAAGCCTTCCTTTCAAGCATAAAATTCTTCGAAGTTTAACTTCACATTATTTGTCGTTTGTCAGGCAGCCGAGTGAGCTCTAAATCAGAAAGAGGTATCAGTCTTTTTTTTGCCCTCTTTGCTGGAAAGGCAGTATTTGCACCACAAGGACAGTTACAAACAGGCCAGAGGGCAATGAAGGCTAAAAATCACTACAGCTGTTTCCAGAGTGTTATGACCTGGGTGTTGTCTGAAAACACTACTGAAAGAGTCATTCATATTCTCCCAATGCGAGTCCCCAGCTTAAAACGTTTCCCGATTTTGGCCACTTGCAGAGATGATCGGAAGTGTTACAGGACACATGCAAAGAAGAATTCCTGCAGGGGATGCTCATATAGCAGCTTGTACTAGGAAAAAGATTCTTCTTAAAGGTGAACTCTTCCGCTCAGCACAAAAAACAACACATACACACACAAAACTAGACTAAATTAATGCACCTATGTGAAAATAAACTCATCAAAGCAGCAGAAAATATAGCTTTCAAGATACTTGTAAGACATTGCTATCAACCCTGGTTTAAGGCCCAATCAACTGTTGCCAAAACTCAGGTGAAAGAAACCCACCAGTACTACCAATCCAGGTCAGGAAAACAACCTGCTTCAACCAAATCATGTATTTGTTTTAGGAAGGTGAAGGCAGAAGAACAATTTGTCTCAGCACTGTTTTCTGCACTAGTTTAGACTAAGACTGTGTTAGCAACACAACAGAATGATCTTCAAAGGAAAAGACAAGTTTTGTTGTACTGTAACTTGAAGGCGTAAGAGGGGCAGACTTCAACCTTCTTGGCATAGATTTCTAGTTGTTGCAGAGAAGTGTTCTCCAATGTTTCCAAAAAAGATTCTCTGTTGAAATCCTGAGAGATCCAGGGGCAACTCTAGCTTTCCTACGGAGGCCTTTCACACACCTTCATTTAAAGGTTCAGTGAGAAGCAGCAAAACGTTTCCTCTGCCAGTTTCTTGAACTAATGCTTTTGCCTTACCTATTTTGCACATGCACTAGTTCTCCAACTACTCCTCTAATACAACCCCCCTGGGCTTGGACACTTAAAAACTCACAGCTTTGTCATGAAACTAGAAACAGTAAACGGCCCAGCACCTCGTCCTGCTCTTTAAAGTTAAAGCTGAGCACGGTCTGTAATGACACATTACGAAAATCTCTGAAACCAGACATCTTAGTGTGGGAAAACTCACCAAATGGTGTGTAGAACTCCTGCAATTAATCTGATCTAACCATACAGCAGTCAAGCAAGTAGAACAAAGTAGATACTGCAACAAAGGATTTCAGTCTCATCAATTCAGTCCCAATAATGGTAGAGCTCTAATACAGACTGATCGACTATTTAGTATAGAGGTTCTTAGAATGCAAGTTTTATTTTCCTTATTACTTGACTAAATAGATAAAATTTTATTTTGCCTAAACCCAACTACTGAAAAACTTCTTAGAAGTGTTATAGTTAAGGAACTTCAACTTAGGAATCTGCACATGCATATTAAGGCTACCTGCATTATTTATAATCCACAATTAACAGGGACTAAATGTGACAAACCAAGTATAATGCTACAACAAGTGGACTTAATTCCACTCCCAAAACATTTCAAGTTGAAGAGCAAGACTAGTATTACTGCCTATTTCAGATACGAGGTTTGGAAGTAACACCGAAGATTACATAGCAAAGCTCACAGCAGTTATACTAGTCTTTAAACAGCTATTTCACATTTCATAAATCTTTTCAGGTGTTTTGTAGGAATTCATACTAAGGCTAGTACCTGTGTGCAGCAGGCGAGTTGTAAAGACGACACCATACACACAGTATGAAACAATACAAATGTAACTTCAGTGCTGCTGTTTTTCCTTCTTAAGGCGTGTCAATACTGCAGAACTACTGACGTTTTCTAAATCAATTTTGTTTTTTAAGAAGTGCATTTTCAAAAGGGAGACAGCTTGAAGACAAAAAAGCTACCACACCTAGTAAAGCAGCAGCAGATAGTCAAGCTAGCAGTATTAACCAAGAAAAGGTAAATTAGTAAACACTACAGGCAAGAACTTACAATATGAAGTTAAAGCAAGATGATTGAACGGAATGTTAAGTTGGAGTTTGTCTTTTTACAAACCAAGTGTATGCCATTCCTTATTTTCATTAGTGAGTTTCAGGTCCTAAATACAACTCAGCTTCTCATTGACTAGCTAAAAAAAAAACCCCAAAACCACAAAACACTAAAAGCAAACCACAGAACTCCAACTTGCACTAACTTAAACACAATTCCTTTACAACAGTATTGCATAAGTAATTATCATAGTCCACGCTTTTTACTACCATGTATCAGAATAGTTGAATAAATATTCAAGTAGGAGTTATGTACACAAACATGCAAGTTAAAAGGAATAAATGAAATGCTCCACTTTATTAAGAAACCAAAATACAAAACTGAAGAGTTCAAGGCTTCATGTACTCAAACGCTACTGAAAAATGTTATCTTAAACTTATAGTTTTGTTTACTAGCAGTACTAATATTGACCAAGATAGTGTTAAAAGTTGACGTTTTCCACCATTTGTGCTGTAATAAGCTAGAGTTTCAAATTAAGAACTCGGTGCAGTTACAGTAAAGTCTAGATATTTATATAAATGTGGTTTTAGTTAACATACTGTTTTGTAGCCAAGAGCTTTTTAGCTCAACTACAGCTGTTTTCTAGTTAGTGAATTTTAAGATGCTTAGAGAGTTTGTTTAATCAGCTATAGCTCTACTAAATGATGTTCCATGCAAAGATACAGCTTAAGTCACCTAACAGACCTAGATGCCATTAGTTTCTGGCTTCTAAAAAAAAAAAAACCCAGAGCTCTGTGAAGGCATGTTGTAGAACTTACCAAAAGCCAGAGTCGAGAGACTGTATCTAATGGTAGCATATGCAAGCTGAACTACACACTTTTCTCTCAAGACACCCTGCAGACCACAAACATTCCCATTTGCACTGGAATGTTGATCCAATCACACTTACCAGTCAAGTGTTCACTGCTTTAGTTCTACCTGGCAATTAGTTCAGCCTTCCTCAGGTGCTTTAACTATATGCTTCAGGAAATCAAGGGAAGGTTAACTGTTAGCTCTGATTTAGCAAGAGGAGCATAACATGAGAAGCAGGAGGGAAAAGGAGAACAGAGAATGAGAAATGCAGTAAACAACCAAGTATTGGCCTCAACTGAAGAACAGAAGACACTTTGAAGAGTTTTCCTAACAATGCATGAAAGTTCACTTGCTTAGAGATACTTGAAATACAACTTTATTATCTAAACAAAAAAGAATGGGAATGACAGAAACAAGATTTACCACTTAACACTCTGATGTGACTGCAGCAGTCTTATATTTGAAACTCAAAAGGGGAAGTAATTGCAGTCCAAAAAACAGCTAAATATGTAGGTCCAAAATATGAAGTTTTTTGTTTTGGTTTTTTTTTTCATTTTGTTTTGTTTGTGGGTTTTTTTTTTTGAACTGCCACATTCACTCCGAAGCCCATTCATCTCTTTCAGCATCCCAAAGATTAAGCACATGTTCTGCTCAGCTAGATAATAAAGTGGCAAACACGCTGCACCACTGACATCACAGGACAGTTGCCTATAAAACTAGACTTCTGACGCTGGGCTCCAGCTTCATCCCTTCACAGGTCATCATCTTCATCTGGCAGTGCAGTGGTTTGAGCAATCTGAAACAGAGAAGTTACACTTAAGAACTGTTCTTCAGTTATTTGCCCCCAGGAGTCCAAATACTAGTTAACAGGTGATCATTTGACCTTTGTGCCCTTTCTCACTTACCTGTAAGTCTTGCTCATATTGTGCTGCCAGTGCTGGGTCCATAACAACTTCAGGCGGTGCAAGAGCAGGCATGGCAACAAACTCCAAGTTAGGATCTCCAATTAGCTTTCTAGCAAGCCAGAGGAAAGGCTTCTCAAAGTTGTAGTTACTCTTAGCTGAAATGTCATAATACTGCAAAAGAAGTACATATTGTATATTATTAAAAAATAAAAAAGACACCTCTAACCGATATGTAGGACATACTGAGATTAACATGCACATAATCAGCTCTACTTTACCTTAGTATTCTTTTTGACTGCATGACTTCTGTTTATGCTCTCAGAAACAGTTATGATCTAAGTGTCTAGAAACATACAGTTTCAGGCAAATAGGCAGAAATTGATAATTGAAAAGTAAGGTATCCAATCCAAAGATGGAACTTTCAGGAGGCAATAATGCATCTATCTTTTTCCTGTGAATTGATCTACTTTAGTCTCACTTCTGTGTTACCTGATGAGATTCTGAGCAGTGAAAGCCAAATGCACACAAGCTCTTTAAAAGAGCTTATCATAGCTTCTGCTCAAGACCAGTGATGATCATCTTTAACATCATCACTTCCGCTTTCCCTGAAGTTAGGTTCAGGCAGCCAATAGGATGTAAAGCTGAAATATTATATTATTTGTAGTGACAAAGGCAGAACACTCAATTACTACACAGAACCCAACCGCAGTCAACAGACCCAACAAATTTGATTCCTACAAACTCATGCCAACATACCTGAAGATTCTTCTTCCTGTGGAAGACAATGGATTTTGCCTTGACTTTTCTGTCCTTAATATCCACTTTGTTGCCACACAACACTATAGGGATGTTTTCACATACTCGTACCAGATCTCTGTGCCAATTAGGTACATTCTTGTAAGTAACTCTTGATGTTACATCAAACATTATGATGGCACACTGAGCTGCAAGAAAAGAATAGTCAAGAGTTACACCAGGAGAGTAAGCACTTGCTTATGAGATGGGAGAGAGAAGAGGTACCCATAGAATTCCCACATTAGGGTTAAGTGTCTGCATTAACTTTTCCCTCTCAGCTTTACAGTTCTGAGAGCCTATGATCTCTTAACAAGTGGCCCATGCCCATGTCATCTCACATCTTTAGTGCCCCATCTTAAACACCAGCTAGTTTGCGATGCAACTGTCCCACTGAGTAACATGGTGCTGCATGGTATGAGAATATACAAGGATCACAAAAGTCAACTTTGATTTACACAAATATTGACAGAAATCAGTTAACACCTATTTAACTAATCTCAGACATCCTATTGAGGCTTTCAGGTAGATCGAGAGCTTGTAGTCCACATTCTCAGGATGCCCTTGTCCAGAACAGTTTTTCAAAGAACACAGGGGCTAGACTCAATCCTGATACTTCTAAAGGAAAAGCAACAATGTCAAACTAATAATCCCTTGCAAAATTTTAAAAGATATGCAGGTGACTGAAGTACACACAGAACAGAGCTTGGCCAAGCAGAAGTTAAGGGATACTATCAGCACTTCTTTAGAAAAACAACCATACTCTGGCATGGAGATGTACAACTTAATCATCATATCTAAAATTTTACAGTTTGCGTGTTCCAAGTCCTTGCCTCAGCACAGTACGTTAATACAGATATAAATCTGTACTAACTGAAGCACATACTTTCACCTCTTCACCACTGAATTTCATCAGCAGTATCTTGTCATTTAAGGTGCACCATTGCTCTCCATTAATACCAAAGCCTGCAATAGCATACTGAAACATCATCTTAGAATATTCCTACATCAGTGCAAGTTGCCTAGCAAAGGAACTTACCGTATTTACATGAAGAGTTTGAAGACCCAGAAACCAGCTCATCAATGCAAGCCACACTGACAACTGTCAGAGTGGCCAACATGAATAAGATGAAAGATTGAACTATAAGAGGTACAGAATATTCCCACATATACACACATCTTACCTTGGATGTAATAGCCATCTCGCAGGCCACCAAATTTCTCTTGGCCAGCTGTGTCCCATACGTTAAATTTAATAGGGCCTCTGTTAGTATGGAACACCAGAGGATGAACTTCAACACCCAGCGTTGCTAGAGTAATAAGAAAAAGCAGTGCACTTAGCAAGTCATGAATTGCACTTCTAATTGTAACATATTAGATATCAAATGTTTCTTCAGACATACCTACATACTTCTTTTCAAATTCACCAGTCAAATGACGTTTTACAAATGTTGTTTTACCAGTGCCACCATCACCAACCAGGACAAGCTGTTGACAGACAAAAGCAAAAAAAAGTCAGAGCAATACACTTCTAGAGACATTTATTGGTCATTTTAGTGTAAATAGTAATTATTACTACAAAGACCTTAGTCCTACAAGATGCTGTAAACAAAAAACTGAACTCCCCATGAAGCAACTCACTGTATTGGGACCCAATTTGTTAAGCCTATCATGCTATACATCTAGTAAGACTTACCTAGTTCCTATAGCTGAAAACTACAATGCACTGTGAATGTGGTTCTACCAAACTACAAGTGACTGAACTAAGAATATTTGGGGTTTTCAACCTGAATGTGACCATATTTAAAGAGGAACTCATTTAAGCACCCAAACTGGAGACACCCAGGGTAATCTTACAATTAAAAAAAACCCAAACAAACAAAAAAACCCCAAACAACTGCACTACTAACAATTGGCATGCTCTAGCCAAGTATTGTAAGAAACAAGTAACAACCTTTCATGAAGCAGTCTTAAGGACTTCTGGCTGTTAAGATAACACACCCCCCCCCCCCCAAACACCAAAAAATTCTGTTCTGAAACATTTTAAGGGTTTTTCCCTAAACAATTAATACACAATAGAAAAGACTATTCTAATTCACTCTAAGCACTTTTTGCTTGTTGCTGTGAAGTTCACTTCTGAAATTTAAAAACCATTCTATAGGCAAAGCATCACTAAAATTTCTTACAATAAACTACAAATAGCATCAGATCGACACAGTACAACAGAATATTTTTGTACTGTACAATATTTTGTATTGTTATATGCATCACTACAATAAACTAACCGCACCGTTAAGGAAACACCAGCACTTCAAAACCAAACCCACCATCCACGTTGGCACTCGCGAGTCGCTCGTGCTACTTTTCTACTGAAGGGGCGGGGGGGAACACCAAAAACCAACAAACCCCTCCCTTACCTTAAACTGCACTTGGGGCTCTCCTTGGGCGGCCATGCTGGGTCTGCAGGGGAAATGGAAGCATGTGAGCTCACAACAGGCGAGCTGATTCAAGGCCCAGCCGGAAGGG